AGTACATTTTTAACAATTAGCCCTAATTTGCAAGTGCCATACTGTAACCATTATTTTTGCTAAAATAAAATAAAATAAAATAAAATAAAATAAAATAAAATAAAATAAAATAAAATAAAATAAAATAAAATAAAATAAAATAAAATAAAATAAAATAAAATAAAATAAAATAAAATAAAATAAAATAAAATAAAATAAAATAAAATAAAATAAAATAAAATAAAATAAAATAAAATAAAATAAAATAAAATAAAATAAAATAAAATAAAATAAAATAAAATAAAATAAAATAAAATAAAATAAAATTAAATAAAATTAAATAAAATTAAATAAAATTAAATTAAATAAAATAAAATAAAATAAAATTAAATAATTATTTTGAAACAGTAAGTTTTTAACAATGGGCTCCAACTGTGCCCACTGTGAAGTGTAACCATTATTTTTGCTTTAATAAACACAAAACAAAACAAAATAGAAAAGTAAATTAAACTAAATATATGGTAAAAGTTTAGTACAACTCGAAATAATCTTCCATTGTAAATAACATTATGCCACAGATGCTTTCAACAACAGATCTTAACTTGTATTGTGCCCACAGCATTCCTTTAAGGTAACTTCATCAGTTAATTTACCCTGAAACCCTGGATGGATCGATGAATATCAATTGTACGTGGATCTCAGCTGCATGTACACACCTAAAACAGAACAACCTCGCTTATTCTGAACACACACACAACAGAGCCAAAGCGTCTGGGTGAAGTATGGTCCTCGGGCATGTTGGCATTTACGACAGCTGTTTGTCAAGATGGATATCTGTGCCGTGGACCCTGAGAGAGAGAGAGTGATGTCAGGTGTTAACACAACAGAACAGCTGCTCTACCAGAAGCCCACAACTCAGCAGCATCCTGACACAAATACGACACACCACTTAAAGTAACACCAAAAGTAATGAGTCTCATTCTGAAGGCCTGGTGTAGCACCTAACCCAGCCGACTTCCTGCCAGAACCAGAAATCTCAAATCCACATGTCCGTTCACAAGCCTTTTGAGATTCCACAATGCATGTAAGTAAGTTGAGAGGGATGAGAACTTGTTCCCTTTTCTCTCCCCTTTGCAGACAAACAAATGAGAGAGAGGAAACCTCACCTGGATGTATTCTTTGTTGCTGTCCTCATTGGGCGTCCAAGAGTTATCTTCAAAGTTAAGCCGAGCCTGTCTTGGGGACCATCGGCCATCATAGAAGGAGGATGACGCAGAGATCTGGTCATCGCTGATCTTGTTTGACTCCATGCCAAGAGCATTACTGCAGTGGAAATCTGAGGAACACAGAGTTTTTCTTACATTAAATCTGAGATAAAAGACAGACATGCAAATAAACAGCAGTGTTGAAGAGTAACTAAAATCAGGGCTGTTACTAACTTTGTAATCTGATTCATTTTATTGAATCATATTGAATTAGTTTGTTTAGTTTACGTAAAAAAAAAGCTATAAAAATACTTAAAAAGATAAAAAAGCTTCCATTTAGTTAGCTACTTTTTTATTACTTGCAAGCTACATTTTCGTATTGGTAGCTAGACCAACAGTTCAGTTTCAAAGCTGAAAGAAAAACATCCCTTACTGTCATTGACCTCCTTGAGAGTCATGTTGTAGCAGGCAGAAAAGCCATCTTTGGCCACGGCCATATCCGTATGAAAGGACAGAGAGAGGATACCAGTGGATGACTGTATTTCAGAGGGGATTTTGGTACCGCAATGCCGCCCAATCAGAGGTCCCACTGCAAAACACACAATTGTAGATGGTTTCTCAGTGCTGGGATGTGAACGGGTCTCATTTTGCTCCAGCCGGCCACTCATAAGATAAGGCTGGTTATTCTGTTTATGTGCCTACAACCTATAGAACACCACCTCTCTGAATTCTGGGACATTTAACTGTCAACAAATGTGTGATTGAATTTGGTCAGACTGTAATGCTGTAGAGAGGCTGCTGTCTCTCTGTAATGTATCCATTGTCCATCCTGACACACACACAGGCACTTACACACAAACACACACACACAGAGTCCCGGATGGGTGAAATAGCCTTGTATCAATCAAGTACATTGATTTTCTTCTCTTTTGGAGAGGAAGGGGCTTTAATACCACAAGTGCTCTCAAACGGTAGCTTGAAATAACTCTTTCTCTCGCCTTTGATGGTGTTGATGATCGAATCAGGTGGCTACTGTATACTACTTTGATCAGGACGCTATCTGTGTGTGTGTGTGTATGTGTGTGTGTGTGAATCTTGCCTGTCGAAAGTTGCTTACAGTCCCCCTCAAAAATCACTTTTCATAAATAAAGGTAAATACAATCAGGCCCTGATTGTCTCGCACATTCACAGAAAACGCCTTACTTCTGTGCTGAAAAATAAAGTGGATATTATATAAAAGAATATATTACACAAATGAATATAACTATATATATTTTTTTAAATATTGACATTGGAAAAAAATATAAATCTAATGAAAATAATATAATATAATAT